CATACAAGTCAGATAATACGGGACGTCTTCTGCAAATTTGCACACTTCGCAATTTGTTTCTAACCAGTCATCACCAATGTACTTACTACCTCTCCCATTCAAGCCTAAAACTGAAATAGATCATACTACAAACTTGTGGGTGTATATTCAAGAATGTGTCTGCATCTGAAGCATCTTTTTAACTCCAATCACGCTTAGGTGTATGCCAGGCTAGTCTTGCATTTCGATAGTTATCAAATCGTCGTCCAAAAAAGTTCAACGTAAGTAAGCTGGTCGCATCTGGTATTGTAACTAAATACCTAACCAAGATACATTCAATAGTAGCTGTTGAACCTCAAGAAGCCATACATGAGCATTGACTACATCTAAAATGCCTTAAAAATGGCAAGTAAGGCTGATTGGGGCTTTGAAAAACATGGCAATTCGAGGTTTTAGCATTTTCTTGATGTTCATCAGTGTATTCTGATGGGCACAAGGTACAATATTACTCGTTATATGACACGCCAAATAGCGTTGGGATAAGGAACAAGTGGCTTAGTGGTTAAATTAAGCGAGTGAGATGGAGGGAACAGTTGGATCTGGCAATAGTCCACGGTTGTCCTAGCTCATGTGAGCCATTGCCAGTAAGAAGTATGGTGTCAGAATTCTTATTCATATTCAAAATGTCCTTACATACTTTTCTGGTGTATGTAATGCTAATTTCGAATAGATGTCATATACATACTATTTTATTTTGCACAAATTAGCCTTTACAATTCTCTATTTATTACATTAAAAACAGTTTCCATTCTGCTTCATATATTGCAAACAAGCGAAAAAATGCATCACTCTATGGTGGGAATTATCAAAGACCAGTTGATCTTATGAATCTACGATCTAGTCCTACAGAAGGTAGTCTTTATCTATCCATCCAAACAACAAACAACAACAATGTCTCCACTTTGCCCAATATAAATAACAAAAACAGTAATAATAATCATGATAATACATCGAATCATGTACAATCATTTTCACCAATATCATTCAGCAAATCGCAGCATCAAAGATAATCTATGAAACAACAATCCTGTCAACAAGATATAAATAGTTCATTATCTGATATATGCTCTGCAACTTATTCATTATCCGATCATACAACAAATGGTAACAATTGTCTATATCGAAATAATACTGCTTCATTAACCTTTAAAGGAGGATTTGGAATAGGAACAGGAGCACGTGGTGGCGGCAGTACATGTGTTCAACACTGTATTCTACCATCTTTACTTAATCTATATGACCAACATCATAAGACATTATTATTATTCTTTGTCCTTTAGGTTTCCAGTGTAAGAAAAGGCTTCAGTAGCACACCTCCATTCCACTCGCTTCTCTGCAATCTTTTGAATCTGGCTACACGACAGCCAAGAACCTTTCATTTCTTCTTCACACGATCTCCTCCATGTCACCGTCCAACACCCTCCCCCAATTCGCCGTTCCCAATCTGGATTCCTCTCGAGTGCCTGAGGCGAGATGTCCCCGAACCGTCTTCTCACTGCATGCCCAATCAATCTCCACTTCCTTCAAGTGCATATTTGTTGAGCGATAGGTTCTTGGTTCGTTCGTTACCCGGTCAGAGTTCCTTGTTGCTTATTCTTTCTGGCCATCCATCTGAGCTTCAGTAACGAGCCAGTGTAGGCAGTTGTTGATGAATCTCTGTAGTTTCTTGTAAATCCCTTTCGTAACGCGCCAAGTCTCTCAACCATCACACAGAAGCACTGACTCACTCGACTGAATTAGTCTTGAAAATCCTGATCTTGTTCACGCCTTATGTTGAGTGCAGAAGATCTCCACACTAGTTTCAGGTTAATGAACGCCAGTCTTGCTGTCTTCCCGATCCTGGCTAGTTTTGACGTCCTCGTCTGTGCCTGTGCCGCCTGTAGTTGAAACGGTGCTGCATAGATAGGTGAAGGAGGCTACTTCATTTAGGTTTCTCCCGTTGATGGTGATTGGGCTTGTTGTACTTGGTGGTGGTGGGGTTGGTTGGTTGGGTATCTTCATCACCTCTGTCTTCTCTACATTCACTTGAAGCAAGTCCCGTCTTCGCTGCCTTGCCTCTTCTGTCAACTTGTCGGATTTTGCCTGTAGATCTTCAAGTTTGTGCGACATTAGACACAAGTCATCACTGGCGAAATCCAAATCTTCTAGGATCTTTCCCCGGTCCAGTGTATGCCCATCTTCTCGCTTCTCACGGTTTCCTGCATGATACAGTCCACCACAATCAGGAAGATCATTGGTGGTGATAGTAGGCAGCATTGTCTTACTCCTGTTTTCACTTCAAAGGCATCACTGACCTTCCCACTGTGAATTACTTGGCATGTGGTGTCTTCGTATAGCGTATGGCTGATGAATGAGGTTGATAAAGGTTTGTGGTATTCCGTAGTATTGCAGCAGTTGCCATATTACTTCTCGGCCGACGCTGTTGAAGTGGAGGCGTTTTCGAAGCCCGCGAAGCTGAGGTAGATTGAGTTGACTGCCATTCTATGCTCTGTTCCGTGATGGTGCTCAGCGTAGCGTTGCAATTTGGTCCACACATGATTTGTACTTCCTGAAGCTGGCCAGTCAGCCTGTTCCGGTGGTAGTTTTGAATCCAGTGCATCATTCAGTCTCTCCACGATGATGCGGCATAATATTTTGCTTACTCTGGGTGGACAGCAGCATGATTCCTCTCCAGTTGTTGTTCTTGCAAAGACTTTGGTCTCCCTCCTTCGGGAGTTTGATAAGGTAGGTTGTATTCTTCCAATCAATAGGCAGGTACCTTCCCTTCATTCCTTCATTGCAAACCTTCTGCAGTAGTAGTGTGAGCATATCTGCTGTTGTCTGTGCGTCTGTTCTCAGTGCTTCTGGTGGGATTCTATCTGGTCCTGCTGCTTTCCCGCATTTCAGTAGCCTTATGGCATTCAGGACTTCGACGTTCGTTGGAGGGCTTGTGTTCGTTGGTAGTTCTGTGGCTGGGCTGCAGGTGGTGGCTGATTCAAGAGCTTTTAGAAGTGGTCAGCCCATTGTTTCCTTCATCATCCTTTATTGGTTTGATCTTTGTTGATCTCTGCCTTACAAGATAGTAATCTGGTTATTTGATACAATGCTGTCAGGTCTCTATATCTACTACCTGCAGGCTGTTCTGCTTCACTTGCCACTGTGTCGTAGAAGTGTCTTTTGTCTTTCCACGCACTCTTCTTCACTTCTCTGTCCAGGGTAGCGTTTTGTTGGTTGTGTTCAGTTCCTCTTTTCGTTGTTCATCCCTGAACTGCACTGCACTGCACTGCACTACACTACACTCGTTCATCTTCTGCATCACCATCACCTTCTTCCTCTACCTCCTCTATCAGCTTCCATGTGTCCGTCAAGATCCATTCCTTATCTTCTTTCTTCTTCTTTCCTAATACGGTTGTGCAGGTTTCTTTCCATATAGCTTTCAAAGAGTTCCGGTGTTCTTCCATGCACGTTCCTTCAGGGATGTTGCTCACTGTCTCCCATTTCGTTCTGATGGCTGACTGACTGACTGACTGACGTGAAGATTTCCTTTGTAGTTTTGTCCTTCAGTTCAGTTTCTGTTCTGGGTGTTCAACTGGAATTTCAACTGTGGTCGTCTATCATCACCAACTTCTTTGCAGGTCTTCAACTTGATTGTGTGAAGGCAGGTTCATTGCACTAGATAGTGAGTGGTGTGAACCTACATCCACTCCCCTTCTTCATCTGATCTTGTGTCCAGTAGGCTGGCTGCGTCTCCACTTTCTTCACATCGAGATGAAGTCGATCTGATTTGTAGTGTAGTGTGTCCTGGTGTCTGTTGAAATCCATGTTGCTTTGTGGTTATTCTTTTGTTTGTACACACTGTCTCGCCTCCAATCACCAAATCGTTGAATGCGCAGAAATCTGCATACAGTTCTCCGTTCTCATTCATTTCACCAAGTGCTTCACAACCAATGATTAGTTCTGTTCCTGTGTTGTCTGCTCCGAGTTTGGCATTCATGTCGCCCATTAGAATTTCAGTGTTGCTAACTGGAGTTTTGTCTGGTACTGATTGCAGTTGTCTGTAGAATTCCTGCTTCTTCTCTACACCTGCATCACTTGTGGGAGCATAGCTTAGCATTGAATGATTGTGACTTTCCTTCCTTTTCAGTTGAACCTTGCTGTCATGATCCTGATGGTGGAGAAGACTGGTCCCCATTACGTGAGAGAGAGCCTTTGATGTTGTTGGGGACATCATGATAGCCACTCGAAAACTCAGTGTGCTCATAGTTGTCGTCTGGGTGACAATATCGGAGTAGATTATTGACAGTTTGGAGAGTCCACTTCCATTCTATCTGCTTTCGCAGATTCCAAACACTTCCATGTCATACCTCCTTATCTCTTTTGCAATCTGGGCAGCCTTGCTGGGTTCATACATGGTGCGGACATTCCATGTCCCCACGTTTACTTCGCTCTCATCGAAAGAAGATACATCGGCCAATCGGCTTCCCGAAGGCCTTCACCAACCAGCGTCATTTCGTCTCCCCGATTCCAGCGACGAATAACTTTGTTTTTATGTTTCATATTTTCATTGTGCTGTGAAGTTTCTTAAGCGATTGAATTGGTTTCACGGGGTAGGGTTGCTAGCCCTACGCCCAACCTTCTCTCTTTTACCCAGGAGTAGGACCGGATACTAACTAGTGAACTAGTTAACCAGGTGAGGTTGGTAAGACATTAACACCATCCCAATTAACTATACTTATGGTGAGATGGAGAATAAAGAATAGTAAAGAACGCTATTACTTGCCATTTTATACCTCGTACTAGTGTCTTGATGCAGTTGTCGATTGACATTCAAATATAGACATCCACAGGATATTTTCCAGTTACGCTTATTGTTAACATTTTGTCCACGTCTTCATCTTGTAACATAACTTCAGTGTCTCAATTTATTTCCATGTTTTGTTTCATATCATTTTTCTCTGCATATAATATTATATTGTCATTAGTATCGAGTGGCTTCACAGCTGACACTTCATCTTATACCTATAATCATTGAGTATGCTCAATATAATTTCCTATGTGATCCATCAACAACAACATCATCATCGATATCAATGTCACAACAGGATAGTTCAGCGTTAATTCAGATGTTTGACAAAAGAGCCCATTTACGCCTTTCAATTAATGTTGCCATAGAATGCTTAAATCGTGCTATTGGTAAGTGAGTGAAATGAATTGATAGATGAGATAACTTTCCTTTGTTGTTCTTATTCTCTCCAAAACGAGTAATAGTTGCAATCCATCCATATTGATATGTTTAGATTGTGTAATTGATTTGTAAACAATTTGCAAATTGACTATTTACTTCAGTAGCATAACTACTAACCAACTATCTATGTATCCCGTATCTATGCGGTACAGTATACTGATGGTTAGATTCAGTTGAACTGAACAAATCTTCTCTTTCATCTGAATTTATGCAGACACACTGATGACGGTGACGACACGAAATTATTATCACTCTGATGTAAATGCTGTCACTACATTGGTATGCGATCAGGAGGTTGGGAGTGAGGGGTCTTAGTTGAGACATTTTGACGCGAACTAAGCAGTGGGTAGATATTCTGCAAAGTGATCATCCCATCAGAGTACAATATTCCTTTGACTGAATTTGTTACATTTCTTTTCATGGTTTGATGACTTGGAATAAACAATAAAATTTCACTAATGATAACGAAATGAAACGCTCTCAGTCACTCTGTGCACACACCTATGCAATAGGCAATGAGTCACACCTTTTGTGTAAGGGGTAATGATACTGCTAGCTGGCTGTGGAAACCTCGGTAGGTGGAGTGGTGGTCAGACCAATGACCCAATGGTTGATAGTCATCTCGGTAAACCACTGAGCAACACCTCCCACTAATGATGGAATCGAAAACAAGAATACCACAAGGTTACGGTGCAAATGGACTTGACATTATTATCAAATATTCTACTTGTAGGTTTGTGAGGAGTTGAATGATTCCCATGAAGTTCTCATCATGGGTCTACATCAACCCGAAAACGTTTGACCACTCCAGAACACTGGACATTTATTTCGTACTAGTGTGGGACTTCACAGCTATGACGTCAACTGTAGCAACTATGAGGACAGATACTCGTGAGTGTAAAATAGATGATGATCGTGCTGTATGAGGATTTGATAGCAGTTGGTGGAAAGCGTAGGTCATTGGATTTTACCCTTATAGCTGAATTGTAATATGTTCGCTACAAGACGAGACCACACCGACTGTTATGACTACGCATTGATGAGCACTTCCAAACTGGGACGATACAGATATTGCATGTTCTGACATTTTCAATAGTTATCTGGTCGATCTCTGTTTGTGATGAAAACTCTTTTCAAATATTGTCACATATATTTAAGAGTTATATATTTCGGTATGCGCTACCCATGAGAACACTAATGGATGGTGCATTATGCCACGTGGTTTGGCGATTCAGAAAGTGTTTGATACTCAACTGGTGGAGGTGGTTAGGAAGTGAACAAGACAAAGGAGCGATAGAAACAACATCAAAGAACAATTTACCTGGGAAAGATAAACATCTGTAAGTAGAACGTATTAGTATTATGTCAGTACTAATTGTAATTTCCTTGACGAATAATTTTGTGTGTACTCACCATTGAAGTACGTTCTCTCTAGTATCGGGTTGTACATCCTAAAGTCTAAATATAATTCACATTTTAACTTTCCAAAGGGAACCATTTAATGTCAAGTAACTTCACAGAACAAATCAAGTCATAAACAGGTAAGCAAACAGCGAGTAGGACCTCTTTTCAGAGCTGGCACTTCAAAATCTACACATCACCTAATATCTGTTATGAAATTTTCACTCCCATTCTTAAATCATTGAGAGGGGTTCACACAAATAATTTATGAGCGTTTGGGGATCATTTGAAGGCTTATCCACGTTCACGCAAAACAGTTCAGGTGGTTTACTGCTTTGTAGTCGCATGGATGAATATCTTTGTTGTAGGTACTTTTACTTTGAGCACATATGTACATTTTTCTAGTGTAAAGATTTGATACTAGATTTGTTTATTTGATATAAAGCGCACAGTGATACAGTATTATTTACTTGATTACGTTTCGAGCATAAATTATTGCTCATAATCATATCAATGTAATCACACTTCTTTCGACATCTGATTTTATAGTCCTGTCACCTGATCTCTCTTTGTTTTTTTGTTTTTTGATTGGTAGTAAAGTTTTCCATATCTCTGGTATAGATGTTGCGTCATTCCTATTACATGTGTTGGGTGTGAATTCGATGAACAAAGATTCAGTAATTAATCTCTCTCTCCACCTAGCTATATTAGACTTAAGTACAGTGGTTTTGTCCCATCCTATTGTGTGGTTGTGTGTTAATGAATGTAATGCAATGGCTGAGTGTTTTTCTAGGTTATTGATCTTATTGGGGTCTGTCGTTCTATGTTTAGCTAAATTCCTATGTTCTGTTAATCTAACTGACCCCGACCGGCTAGTTTGACCTATGTATTTGACTTCACAGTCATTACATGGAATTTGGTAGATTATATTATTTTGCTTAATTGGTTCTATCGGATCTTTTAACCGACACAGCTTACCTCTAAGTGAGTTTGTTGGTTTAAATGCACCCTAATTCCAACCTTGTTGAGAATCCTACGTATGGTTTCTGATGTTCCTTCCTTGTATGGTATCACAATAGAGGTGCTGATTTCCTTTCTCCTTATGTTGTCACTATTATTTGTATTTGTATTAGTGTTATTATTTTGCTTCTTATGCGTCCGTGTGAATTTCTTAATAAAATGATGGGGATAATTATGAGTTATTAACGCTTCTTTTATGAAAAGAAAATATCGAAATCATGCTGCAAGGGTGGCGTTAGAAATTATAAGAGAACGTCTCATAGTTGCGTAAAGTGGAATCAAAATTGTCTAAATACGAATGAGGAAGTCAAACATAGCTTGACTTAGTCAAGCTAGATACATGAGATGAGAACTATCAACATATGTGCACATACAAATCTTTATCTGCAATTCAGACGCAACCCCACTACATATAGATATTGTCTTTTTTCAACAGTTTGATCGGGTAGAATCAAGTTATGATATATAAGCTTGGGGGTTATTATAAATTTCGGTTTACTATAACTCTGATAAAGCTGTTGGCAGCACTAAGTAACGAATCGTCAATTGATGGGAAAAAAATTTATTTTGTTCTACTTTCACTATTAAATGCAAATACCAAAATAATGGGTAATTTTTCATAGGTCTCTTTACCAAAGCTGAGGACTATGGATGACTTCTGTTTATTGAAGCCCTGAATATAACGTAACATTTTTTCTCTGCTTTGTTATTGATTCGATAAACGGAGAGTTGAAAACAGTTTAAAAATGTGCAAGAGTACATGATACGTTCAGCAGACATATTTAAATGATTAAAACAAATTGAAAGGAAAGAATTTAATGAAGAATGTTCGGTGGTTAAATTGGGTAACTCAAGGTTCAAGCAGTTTATGTGATATTATCATACAGTGATATTGTATTATTGTATTATTTTGAACACAATCTATAATCATAATCATAGCAAGGACGACTTTACAGACCGACCTAACAACTGCCGAGATAGCCAATTGTATTTCTCCATTTTATAAAACATTACCTTTCCAGCCAAAATACTGAGATCTGATTGGTTGCTGGGTGACTTTTAAAGTCGCTCTCATAGCAAGGTGATTACTCTACTTTCTACTTTGATTTCTGGACGTATGTATTTCTCTTACTTTTAACTCTGCACTTAGTGGTGCACTATTTATATTTTATGTAGCTTTCGGTGTTTATTTTATAAACAGAGATTCAATGATCAATCTATTCATCATCATCCACCTTAGTATGTTAATCTTCAAAGTTATTGCTGCGCTGCTTCACCATATATTGTATCACTGCATGCTTTCAGCTTTCTCTCTAGTTTACCTATCTGGGTCGGTGGTTTGTCATTATAGATTTAACCGAATCCCTATGCTCTGACCAACTGGGATCAGCTGATTCAATATATATTACATACCTGACCTCAATATCACTGCATACACTTTAATGAACTTTATCTCCTAAGTTTGTAGACCTGTAAACAACCAACCTATTTGAGACTCCTCAGCTGGATGTAGCTGTATCCCAATGAGTTATGTTATCCCCGCTGAGACTGGAATCCAGTGGTCATTGCTTCAAACGGCAAAGTGATGTCCACTGGGGCATGAGGGGCACCACTTGTGCAATAGGTATTAGTTGTTGTTTATTATTGATAATTTTCATTTGGTGTTACTATACAGGTTTAAATCGCTCAACCTCTGTCATCTGTCGTCTCTGAAATACCATCGTATAATGACTGTCATTCTCCTAGATTGCTTTTAAGCTAAAAGGAGTTTCGTTTATCATATATGTACGTATAAAATTATTCTACATAACTTGGAAAGTTTACACAAGCTTTCGGTCTTTTTTCCCAGTCATTTAAAGAGATTATACTCTCTAATAACAGATGATGTGAACAAAATATTTAAAATGAATCATTATCCAGTGAAATTAATTCACAGAGTAGCAAATAACATTAAGGTAGAGGGTGAAATTACCCCTAAATGATCGGTCTTAATAATAGTTATCCCTCACAGATGACACACATCGGATGAAATTCGGTGAGTGCTCAGCAATTACTTCATAAGAGTGTTTTACAGAATATCAAACACATTGCAGAGTACCTTAGTTCATTTGAAGGACAAGATCCCCTGGATAAACAAATTAATTGTGTTTATCAAATAAAATGCTCAAAATTGTGATGCAATGTACAATCTCTCCGTGAAATGAAACCTGGAATTGGTATGGCTCAAAAACCAGACAATTCTCTCCAAACACTATTATCCAGACCAGAGGATGCAACAACCAAAGAATACAAACCGAATATCATTTACAAAGTCAACTGGAATAACTGTAGTCAACACTACATTGGATAAAGTGGTCACCCTCTTCGCCTTCGTCTACATGAACACCAATTAGCTATTAAACGTCACTCATTTCAATGTATGTGGGTAACAACTATAGACATGAATTGAATTTCGACAATGTAGAGAGAGAGAGAGATCTTGGACATAGGAAACACAAAGAATATCAGAGAATTCCTAGAAGCTTGACATTCAGG